ACACACACACACACACACACACACACACACACACAGTGTATGCAGAGTAACAGAAATAGGAGAGGGAGACATGAAGGAGAAACACTGTGATCAGATGAGTAAGCAGAGTTCTGCTCCTGACCTGCAGGGGACAACATCCATCCCTCTCTTCACTGCTGAGGGTCACTCAGTCCTGGTGTTACCATGGTAATGACAATTTAATAGCCCAGACTTTTAATGTCTGTGTATTTCAATGTGTGTGTTTCTTTCCCTGAATCTGTGTGTTCCTGTACATATGTGCATGTTAGATGAGATGCCCTTTGGGTCGATGGCTTTTAGCCATGTAATTACGAATAGCAGCCCCAACCCCCCCTACCCATCCTCGCCCCTGCACTCTCGGGACATTTCTGTGCAAATCTGTGGCTGTTGCATTTGGTCTATTGACTTCCATGCAGACCCAGATCAAAAATTATGTTCAGGCCGTTTGTTTTCTGCACCCTGGAGTCCTGGTCAGGAGGGGTTTAGAGCAGACAGTATAAGCTGCTACAGGATGTTTATATTTTGAAAACTCAATAAAGCATTTTTTTGTGTTAGTGTACCTTAGTGTACCTGGGCTTTATTATAGGGATGTTTACTCTAAAAGAAATTATTATAGAAAACAGTGAAAATGATGTCATGTGGACAAGGGGGCATGTTCAAAACCCATGTTTTGTCAAACCAACAGCCTACAACCCAAATACAGGCTTGGTCGTAAAACAGATTTACAGATTAAAGTACTTAAATAATGTAATTCTGTAATAATATCAAATTTTTTCTTTACTTCGCCAGTGTGCACCCTGCCGCTCCAGCCCCCAGGCGTCACAGAAAAATAGAAACAAAAAAATCATCGATATGATAATGATGATCCTTATATTGACTTCATGTTATCATATAATAGTAAAAAGTTGCCACATGATCATATGAAATGGATCCAGAGGGTGGATTGGATATAAGGTAACTGAACAAAGGCCTATCTATCAGGTCTATTATTCTTGTGGCTACTTCCACTGCTACACAGACAATCTCTCCTTCAGTTTACAGTGAATATGAGTGTGTGCTGTCCGGCTGAAGTCTCGGGTTCATCACACAAGTTCTCTCTTCCCTTAGGGCCGATTCATATTAAAGATTGCAAAGATCAGGTCTCATTTCCTGACTGTCTGTGTATGCGCATGTGTGTGTGTGTCCGTCACCCCTGCAGACACACATGTTCAACAAAAAGTGGGGCCCCTGTTGTTGGGTCTAGCCTTTGGACTGTCTCCCTGATGGAGATGGAGGGCACCGCTAAATAATACGTCCACGCATGCATCCAGGAGGCCCCCCTCTATACCTCCAGGGCTCCAGAGGGAGCAGCCTGAGCTTCACAATACTTTACCCTAGAGAGGCCTCAGCCTGCTGGGCTGCTGATAGCTGCACCTGGCCCCTGCTGCCTGGTCTTCAGAAGAGGAAAATAGAACCTCACACGGTCCACATCACATCACATAAACCAGCTGTCTATATATCGTATGCATACAAGCTGGTGTCACATGGGACACTGTGTTATCCTTTATGATTTGGGGGTGTTTTTACCCCCCGTTGTTCTGCTCTGGTCCCGTGTATATGTGAGTGTGTGTTGTGAGATATCATTTTTCACCCCACAGAGGCTCTGACTAACCCTGTAACCAAGCCTCCTCCTCCAAATGCAATGAGGGGGAGGCTTTTTAGGAAAGATCATACAGAAATATTAACCCCCCCCCTCGCTCTCTCTCTTTGTGGTCTGGCTTTGGAGAAGCATGAGAGTGAATGGTGCTGACAGCTCTTGCCTCATGGCTAATTTAGACATCCTGTCAATGAGTGCTGGGGGATTTCTTCCTCAATGTTGTTATGTATTCATATCAACTCAAATCAGTTTATCAAAATTTCATCTTTCAACAATAATCTCTACACATCCCAAGTAGGTATAGGAAAATAAAAGCAGTAGCACTTTTTAAACTTGTAGCTTTATCATGGGTTAATGAATCTGTCACTGCTTCAGATCACTTTTAAGCAAAGAATGAGAAAAACCCTTTCGGTCATTAGTAAAGTCAAGCCATTAATAGTCATGAATAAAGTTAAAACCATCTGTTCTGCAGTTTAGCACCAAATGTTGAGCTTTTTATTTGGATCTACATCAAACTCCAAACAAGTATAGATATCAATCCCTTAAATAGGTACATGTCTTGAAAAACAGTGAAAATGTCAAAAAGGGTTAGAAATAAAACACAAATAAACCCCCACACACACCAACCTATCAATCAACCAACCTACCAATCAACCAACCTACCAATCAACCAACCAACCCACACACACCAACGTATCCTCACTAAAAGCAGCTGTTTTTCCTGAAATTGTCAAGCGGAGCACATTATTTCCTAGTGTATAAATCCTCACTTCACCTTCTTTTGGACAGAAAACACAGTTGTATAAAAGCTCATGCTGGAGTTGCTGCCTGGATCATTTCAGGATCAACACCTGTAATTGGGCCAAGTGGGACAGATGCTCTTCCAACTCTTCAGTTTCCCCCCTAAAAACATACCAGGCTACCTGATCCCACTTGTGACTGGAGATAAAAATAAAAATCCAGATGTGCACATCAGCCTCAGCCTGTAGACAAGCTTCAGAATGCACCACCTTGTGTGTGTGTATGTATGAGCTGGATGTGTGAGTGCTTGAAGGAGGCTGTGTCTGCACCGCCCCGTTGGTGCGTGAGGTGTAGAGCGTCGAGCTCACTCTGCCCCCGGACTGGTCCTATCTCTCAACCCCACGCACCATACTCACATCCCCACACACACACATGCACACACACTTGATCACTGAAAGGAGGCAGACCTGGGCCGCTTCAATTAGACACTCCTGCAGCGGCTCCCTGGCGTGGACGTTTTTCAATATTTCATCACAGCCTCCTTGGATTCTCCGCATGTGGCGTCTCCTTTGCGCATAGAGCCAACGCTGCTAAAGAGTGTGAGCATACTGAGCATTTACCCGGAGATGAAGATAAACGCCCGGTGAATGGGAAACACCAACACGGAGGAGGCAGCGCTACCTTCCCCCCATATCGACAGGCACGCTCGCCCTCTCCGTCGGCGAGATTTGAACACACGAAACCGGAGCCGGTGTCTGCGCTCTGCGGGGCCGGGCGCGCGACGTCTGGGAGGAGTGTAGGGAAGGATGGACGCGTTTTTCACGGAGGTAAGCTTCGGCGGAATATGTGTCACTGGTATTGAGCTAAACATGAATGACAGATTAAGCGTTTTATGCAACCGTTGGATTTGCACCCATGCACGGCCTGTGTAAACTGCTGTGCTCTTTTTTTCTGATCCCCATCGGGTTCGGTTGGGGCAGGTGTTGCTTTGCTTCTTTCGACTGGAACCATTAGCGGAGTGTCCCCCCCTCTGCAAAAAAAAAAAAATAGGCCTGTATCAACCACATATTGATTATGGTTATTTTATTATCACTGCAGAGCGCAGGGGGCCTGTGTTTCCAGCTCGCTTGGTGAATGAATTCACAGCAGAGCCGCAGATAAATTGGCCAAACGAGAGCTGACACGGGCTTTTGCATCCATAAGGCTTGCACTCGGATTAAAGCCAATCTGTCAACCGACGGTATATAAGACCGTGTTGGCCTCCAGCAGCAACACCATGCTGCACAGGAGGGAAGGCACCCTGTCAGTGCTCTCCAGTGTGCTGTGGTTGGGGATGGAGCCGGCGTCCATAGGGTGGGTATGGGCCGGTGCGCGTCTGCGGGAATTGAGGAGGGGATGGTGGGGGAGGAAGAGGAAGAGGAGGAGGAGGGGGAGAGTGGCTACCTGGAAAGTGGAAGAAGGAGGAAGAGAAGGAGGAGGAGGAGGAGGGGGAAGAAGGATATATTGCCTGTGTGGATGAATTAGTTGAGACAGGAGGGGTTTAAAATTGGTGGCATAATTTAATATTAGGTAAATCAGCAATTCAACCCTCCTGTTCATTCTCCCAGTGCCTGCTGGGAAAACCTCCATCATCATGGGATTTATTTGACAAACCTTCCTCACTGTTGTTAAACCAAGAACCAAAAGCCAAGTTTTCTCCCCCTTTCCAAATTTGCACTGTGATCTTCACACCACTCCCCAGCACGTGCACACACACATTCAAACAATCTAATGAAACAACTTGTCCTGCCCCCCACTATTTTGATGTCAAAATCTGTCCTCTCCAAGCTACTTATCCCCCTCCCTCTTAAGTTAATCTGATATGGGTTTAAATGCCTCTCACATTGGCAGCGATGTCATGCCATTTATTGATGTGTTTGTGTGAGTGGTTGTGGGGGAATGTGTGAAGGCCACGGCGAGCACCGGTGTCAATGCAAGGCCTTTTCTGTTGCAGCAACATATTTACAATAAGACGAGTAAATGACGACACAGCATAACTCTGACAACTGTTACTGTCACACAGCAACAGCAAAATGCTACAACCGTCTCTGCTGCTCCATTTCCCATAAGTCTGTGTGCAATAAATTGATCCCACCATTGATTCTCAGACCACCACATAACCAACCCTGCAGCCCTGCACAGCACCGACTCTGAAAGCCAAAGCGAGACTTGAAAGTGGAGTGACTTATTGAGCCATGCATGTTCAGGCTCACAGCTCTGATACCCAGAATTATGACTTCATGCAGTGGACCACTGAGTAACCAATCCTCTCGGGAGGTGTCTGTCCAACATCCACTTAGTTTCATTCCTCCGCTGTCCCGATCACTCCACCCCTCAGTCTTATATCCCGGCAGCATTCCTCCATTTGTCGCTCTATCCATCCTCTAAACCAGAAAGAGTGAACAGCTGACCGCTCTCTCTGTCTCTGTCTCAACCCAGGCAGAAAACATGATCGTCGGTCGGCCAGCCAGCCAAGCATGAAATGTCAGGTGGCTTTAGACGACTGTATAATCCCCTCATTTTGGAAATGGTTGGTCAGTAGTAGAATATGCTTGTCTGTTGTGACATGAAGTGCTCTAAATAAAAACAAAACCCAATCCTCTCAACAAAGGGAAAACCAGAGGGACATGAAAGATCAAATCAGAATGTTTGAATTTAATTTTCGGATGAATTCTATGTTGTTGTGTCATATTTTCTTTTACTTTTTTCAAACCTCAAACCTTGTAAAGAAGTTATCCAAAAGTATAATGCAGCACTAAGTTTTGGGAATCAAATATTAACCAGCATATGGCACCTACACCTTTAATGGTCCATATCAGTTATTCTCAAGTATTCAGAATTTATGACTCACACTTGATGGAGAGAGACATGTGAAACTAATTAAGAATCAAAATAATAAAACATTATAAATAGTTTGTTTGCTGAAGACTGTTTTAATTGAATCCACATTTTAGTTTAACTTGTGATGCAATTGACCCTCAGTCTGTCTGATGTTCTTCGATTTTTCTGGTCAAAATCTCACCTCTATGTTTTTAACACTGTTAGCTGTAGTTACATTTAGGCAAGGTAAGGTAGTTTAATTTATAAAGAGCCTTTCATACACAAAGGTAGATTCAAGGTCCAGGGGAATTTAGGGAATTACCCAAACACAGCACTTTCAAATATAATTAACGTAAACAGAGCAGACAACAGACAGTAAAACAGGGGAGGAGTCCTACACCTGACACAGACAATAGATGCTTTAACATCTACTACCACAAATGTGAAAACTCCGCCTGCTGATGTGGGTTGTGAGATTGGAACCACAACAGCTACTGACATAGACCATGATTGATTTTTCCTCGTAGAATAAAATGGAAATGTTCCACATAAATACACAGTAATTTTATAATAACAATGCAGAGATTTATTACTATATCGTCTTCCTTTTGTTTTATTTCTTATGCCATATTGAGGATCTCTTTGAAATGTAGTTTACTATACGGGAAGTTGCATGAATACTGGAAACTACACTAGTTGACTTTCTAGTTCAGATTACAGCAGAGTATTGTGATGTCTGTGCCATTTACCAAGAAGCTGCATCAAGATACTCTGTGTGTGTGTGTGTGTGTGTGTGTGTGTGTGTGTGATGGGGAGGTAGATGACATTTGGTCTCACTGTTGACATTTTGTGTTTTATGTCGGTGATAAGTTTGGACATGATTACAGATGCACAGCCACCATGAACTGATAACCAGGTGACGGACAGGTGTGAACGCAGAGAGAGCAGTGTTGGCGAAGCCGTGACACATAATCTCAATGCTCCTGTCATTGTTGCTTTATCATATCTGTCTTTTTATAGCCCGTACTTTCTGTCCTGTCTTTGCCCTCTCCTCTCTTTCTCCTTCTCTCCTCTCTGGCAGGCTGTAAATTATTATTTACAACTCTGCAATTTGTTGAGTGCCCACTACACACCATGTTCAGAATGGTTATAAAGCAGTGGAAGAAGTGTTCTCACTCTGAAGTTGCTCTTTTCAGGCATTGAACTTGAGTCGTGTTTAAAAATGAATCATCTGGATGCATTCTGTATGGCTGCTTGCATATGGGCTGTGAAACATTCATGCAAACACAGCAATATCAAAGCTGCTGCAATGGTGATTTTTTTGCATCATTTCTTTGGCACATTGAATGTTGACTTATAAAGCTATAGGGGTAAAAATAGCAGAGCCGTGTCCATAGATTGTCGTCCAAATTATGCAGGGTTTTGTGTGAAGCACAAACTGCGGGAAGGAGGGAAGGTAGCAGTCAGTGGAGATGTGTGACCTATATTCAGCAGCTTCCAACACATTTGTTCTGCTCAGGAGCTGCATCAGTTTTGCTTCTCTCTCTCTTTTCCCTTCCCTCTGATGCTCTTTCTCTCTCTCTCCCTGCGGCCACTCTTCTCTGAGCTTCTCCATCCCGCTCACTCAACCACTTTCTCTTCTCCTCCTGGCATTTTTCCAGTGCTGTCTTTCCACTCCTTCACATTTCCACTCCTTCTCCTCCTGTCTCACTCTCCTGGCTGTTCTGTGAGAGTAAAGCTCAAAGTTGAATGAAACAACAGCTCGAGGAATCATGCGTCTCTTAAAGGGCTATAATGGAGCTGGGAATTATGAACAAAAATGTATATCTTGATTAATTCTCATTAATATTTTTGATAACAATGACTAAAACAATGAGCACTCATCTTTTTAACATTTCATGGTATTTGATGTTTTGTATTATACACACACAATTTGTATTTCCTTAGTTAAAGTGTGATCATTTTGAATTTCTGGACTGTTGTGGGCTGCAACTAACAATTAAATATTTAGTTTACACACATAAAATACACAACAGCAGAAACTGTAATGAAACAATGGACTGTTATATAGTTTTTAGTTGTAATTTTGTGTCAAATTGTTTCAGCTGTAGTTATTAGCGCTGTCAGATAATTACATGGGATTCAGGTCATTTATGTAAGACATTCACACTGTCGGAAACTGGCAACACAATCTGGTTTTCATCCAGTTTTTTAAGCTACTTCTAAAACACACGCTTTCTCCCACCTACGGTCAAAAATGTATATAAATGTAAAATTAAACATCACAAATCACACCCAAGTCAAGAAATAAAGGCAAAATACATGCAAGTGTGTAAAACAAAGAATTACATACATACATTAAAATACATGACAGCATATCCCACAATCCTCTGCACCTGAACACCATCTCCCAGCATCCACCAATGCTGGGAGCAGAGAGGCTGTTTCCATGGCACCCTGTTTCCATACTGTTGCCGGGGAGTCTTGTTGCCAGGGTGTCAGGGGGTGGGGGTGTGTGACTGTAGTTAAATCCAAGATGAGAGAGAATGTAATAATTAGCAGACTGCTCAAAACTGGCCACTAAAAGAGGATTTGCACTGTATCACACACACACACACACACACACGTGCACAGAAAATAACATTAACAGCTGCTTCAATCTGCCTCCCTTATCCCTGCTTGTAATTTATTTCTGATCTGGTTTACTTTGGATAAATCATTCATGTGTTTGTTGTGGAATCCAGGACAGGTTAAAAGGTTATCCTGCTGAAGCTTCACATATTCCAGAGCAACAGTACCGCAGCCAAACAGGACACGCTACACACACTCGTGCCCCTTCTGTACCCACTGTAAGTGTGTGTGTGTGTGTGAGAGCTTTGACCTGATGGCTTCTCTATGTGTGTGTGTGTGTGTGTGGGGGGGGGTTGTGCTACATTAGTCAAATATTCTCATAAAGAATAAAGAGGCC